GCCAAGTATCCCTGCTAAGTCCTCCCTTCTGCTTGCCTCAATGTTTGGGCTAAATGATAGCGCTGACTTTACCAGATTAATTTGTTGACCCGACTCTATCTCATAGAGGTTTAGTATCCTTTTCAGTTGATCACTCTCCTGTCTAGTTGCTCTGGTAAACAGAATACTATCATGGACGACAATAGAATTTGAATCCCAAAACGACCGTTTGAGAAAACGCTTAAATGTATTTTTAGATTGAGTTCTAATGGAGGGAAAAGGAAGAAAGGCATGGCAGTGGTTCTTGATCAGGCGGCAAATGAAGAAGAGGAGGAAAAGGAGGAAGAGAGAAGAGTTTGTTTGTACGTGGGCTTTTTGGGTTTTTGGTTGTTGAGAAGAAAAGGGTTGTTTGTGTGGTGTGAGAATTGGAAATTGGATTTTGTTTCTTGAGAGTTGAGAGGCATAAGAATAGTTGCATGTGGATGGAGAAGGAAAGAGTGGAGGCCTGGATTGGGAGAGGATATAAGCTAGTCGGTTAGTCTCGGTTCATCGATTTGTTATCGGTTAGCAACCGAAAATCGTTGGTTAATAAATCAGTCAAAATATGTCAACCGAAATCGAGACCGTAGTCATTTTGTCGGTTTTTTGTTAGCTGGCTAATCGACTGTTTCGGTTCAGTTTTTCGATTAGCCAACTAACCGGCCACCAACTATCACCCCTATGTACTTTAGAAATTTTTATAAAACCTACTATTTAAGATTATTTTTTTAAGAACTAGTGTAGTTAAGGGGTAAAAAATCTGCTTTTAACATATCCCACTAGTTCATTCATCAAGGCCACTTGTTCATTCATCAACCCCAACAATGACATTCAATGTCCTTAGTCGCGACCCATCAACAATATGCTTCAGAGATTTTTTGTATAATAGTACTTTTTTTTAAGAATCAAACCTGCTTTTATTAATTAATCATCAAAGTTTAAACATGACCACTCTTCATTAAGAAGAGAAAACAGAATAATTGGTGGTCTATCCACCCAGCACTCATCCTCTTCCCAATTGCAAGCAATGTGGAGCATAGTATGTCCCAAACTATTTTGGTCTCTAGGGATATGGATCCATTCTATCTATTGGAAAGCCCGACCCATCTCCTTAATTTCTTGTGTTATTTGGCCCACTTTAACATGGGCGATCGCTTGGCTTGTGATGAGGCGCTCCACCTGCTGGCAATTCGTCTGTATTGCAATGGAATGCAATTGAAGCCATTGAGCCATTTCCAGACCAAACTTCACCGCCATCACCTCTGCTTCCAATGCCTCCCACTGCCTCCGCGTTCTCCTCACCGCCGCCGCCACAAAACCCCCATTCTTCTTTCTAATTACGACTCCCAGCCCCGTTCCATGTTCAGTCAAGCATCCCGCGTCCACCGAGAATGTAAATTCCGTCGACTGAGATGGTCTCCATTTCCCTCCACCTTGGCGATTGGCTTCATATCCCACCTCCTGCATGTCCAGGTATTCTTGCAACCACCCTAAAGCTCTGGATATTATTTCCCCTTCTTCCAATTTCCTCTTATTCCACAACTGAATATTGCGTTGTTCCCGGATAAACCACTATGCGACGAGGAATTTCCCGAACCGTTCATCGTCCTCCGTCTCTTGCAGGTTGCAATACCATTCTTCACAGGTAAGAGTCTCCCCACTTTCGAACAATAGATTCATAGGAGTAGGCCTAGTTACCCTCCTCACCCACGCACAATCCTTGAAAATGTAGTATTGAGTTTCAGGGAGATCGCAGAATGGGCATCCTGCATGACCCCTTTGCGTTCTTTCCACAATTCTAGCTTTCGTAGGCAAGATATCCCCGATCCATCTCCACGCAAACAATCTCACCTTAGGTGGTATCTTAAGCTTCCATAACCTTTCCCAGTTTACAGGTGTGTATAATTCACCATACTCCTCCTCGTTTATGTTCTTCCACAACCTGTATGCTGATCTCACACAGTAAGTCCCTGTAGTCTCCATTGTCCAAACCTTCTCATCCTTGCAAGGTTGGCGAGGGATTGAAATTTTTTATATATGTTTTCGGTCTGCAATGTTGATATAGGCATGCAATAAGTCAGGTTTCCAGGTTCTTGTCTCCCGGTCTATCAGCTCAGCCACCGACGTTGTATCCCCAATTCTCGATACTGGAGATGTTACTCTAAATCCTTCACTGTTGGGAATCCACCGATCCTGCCAAATGCCAATACTTTTCCCATTCCCCACCCTCCATCGATAGCCCTTCTCGACTAGATCCTTAGCTTCCATCAATCCCTTCCAAACAAAACTGGAGTTCCATAATTTTTCATCTTCCAACACATCCCTGGTGGGATAATACTTCGCTTTCAACACTCTTGCGGCTAGTGACTTAGGTTCCTTTATTAGTCTCCATAGTTGTTTGCCTAGGAGAGCTATATTAAAACACTTAAGATCGCCCTGCTTCTTAGGTCTGCTCAGCTCCTCCCACCTTAACCAGTGGGTTTTCTTCTCTTCCTGCTGTTGTCCCCACTAGATATTGGTGATCAGTTTCTGGATCTCCTTTATAGTGGCCATAGGGATTGAAAAGATCGACATAGCATAAGTCATTTGCGATTGAGCCACGACTTTAATCAACACTTCCTTCCCCGCAATAGATAAGAGCTTACTTTTCCATTGTTTCACCTTGTTCCTCACTCGATCAACCTGATAACCAAAAACTGCTCTTTTTCCTCTTCCCACTTTAGTTGGGAACCCCAAATATTTCTCATGAAACTCCACCCTCTTCATGCCAAGTATCCATGCTAAGTCCTCCCTTCTGCTTGCCTCAATGTTTAGACTAAATGATAGCTCTGACTTTACCAGATTAATTTGTTGACTCGACTCTATCTCATAGAGGTTTAGTTTCCTTTTCAGTTGATCACTCTCCTGTCTAGTTGCTCTGGTAAACAGAATACTATCATCCGCAAAATGTAAGTGGGAGATAGGTGCTCCACGCTTAACTTTAATCACTGTTTTCTTCTCCCTTTCTCCCAAAGAAATTAACCCTGACAGCCCTTCTGCCACTAGGAGAAAGAGATATGGGGATATAGGATCCCCTTGTCTCAATCCTCTTGTTGGTTTAAACCATTCTGTCTTGTGACCATTTACTAGCAGACTAAAAGATACTGTGGACACACACTCCATAATCAAGTGAACCCAACTATCATTGAACCTCAGCTTTATCATGATAGCCTCCAAGAAACTCCAATCCACTCGATCATAAGCCTTAGCAATGTCCAGTTTTGCTGCCATCCACCCACTCTTTCCTTTTTTCTTCTGTTGCATTGTGTGAAAACACTCAAATGCCACAATAATGTTATCTGTGATTAATCTCCCTGGTACAAAGGCACTTTGATTAGCCACAATAATCTCGGGAAGAATTCCCTTAACCTGTTGGCCAAAACTTTAGACAGAATCTTGTAAAGAACTCTGCACAGACTTATAGGACGGAAATCAGTGGGGCTTCCAAGGGCTTTCTTCTTAGGGATTAGTGTATTTTAGGTCTGGTTGAGCTCCTCTGGAAAATTCCCCCCTTCCAAATATCCTTGTAGCTCCCTAGTGACATCATCCCCAATTATATCCCAGTTTTTTTGAAAGAATAGAGCAGGCATTCCATCCACACTCGGTGCCTTTAAGGGCCCCATTTGTTTCAAAGCTGCCCAAATCTCCTCTCTAGTAAAAGGTTTCATCAATTCCTCATTCATTTCCTCTGTTACCTTCCTAGGAACCTAGTCAATAATCTGACTCCCTTGCCTTGGGGGGCCTGCCAAGTATAGTTGTTTGTAATATGCAACCAAACATGCTGGCACTCTATCCTGTCCTTCAAATAATTCCCTAGTCGTGTCTCTAAGTTTCCTTATAGTGTTCCTCTCTCTTCTTTCTGAAGCACGACGGTGGAAGTACTTAGTGTTCTTGTCCCCCCTCCTTAGGCCACTAAGCTCTAGACCTCTATTTCCACTTCATCTCCTCAATTTAAAATATCATGTCAAGTTCCTTTTCTAATTCATCTCGCTGCTGAATAAGGGCCTGATTCATTTGGAGCTTACAAATTTTCCCTAGTACCCTCTCGATCTCTTTCCTTCTATATTTAAGGCTTCCAAATGTTACCTAACTCCAATGCTTGAGCTTTTCCTCGCACTCTCGTAGTTTGTCCATAACTGATCCATTCTCATTCCTCTTCCATCCCTCCTCCAATACACTTTTAATGTCGTGATGCTTTTGCCAATAAGCTTCATACCGAAAGGAGGTTCCCCACCGGACTTCTGGTTCTCCCAATCGGGTCTGTAATGGCAAAGGATTGTGGTCTGATCCACACCTATTCAGGTGGTACACTCGAGCCTGAGGGTACAAAGCCACCCAAGGGTTTGTAGCCACCATTCTGTCCAATCTCTCTTCCAGGAAATTATCATCCTTGTGATTGTTATCCCAAGTAAACCGTCGCCCATAGAATCCTAGGTCTTCCAGGTTACAGTCTTTCAGTGCCTTATTGAAGCCCTCCATCTCCTATTCATTAGCTTCATATTTCCCATTCTTCTCAGCATAACACTGTACCAAATTGAAATCCCCTGTAACTAGCCAGGGCAAATCTGTTAAGTCACTTAATTGTCTTATTAAATTCCACGTGCGAGGTTTATTACCTTGTTGTGGCCATCTATAAACCCCAGTTAGCCTCCATTCCTTGCCCTCATCACAGATTTTCATGTCACTGTGGTTATTTGAGTATGCTTTAATCTCCACCTTGATTTCTGGTTGCCACAGGACCATTAGGCCCCCTACTCTTCCTACCGAACCAACACCAAAACCATCCTTCCAACCCAAACTCATCATTGTTTCCCTCCACTCGTGAGACATTCTTTTTGTTTCCATCAAGAATGCTATTTGGGGATTTTGTCTTTGTAACAAAGACCTAACTTTCTTAATTGCTGAGGGATTCCCCAACCCTCGACAATTATAGCTGAGTATATTCATTGGGCTGGGCGGCTCTGTTCTACGACAGAGTCCGCCAAATCGCCATCCAAATTATTTAGTCTCCCCTGCTGATCCTTGTCCTGACCCACATGAAAATCCAAAACTTTTGCTTTCTTCGGATGTTTTGGAACTTCCAGGTCTATGTCCATATCACCTCCTTGTGTGTCCACATTCCTCTTCTGTGGAGTGAGTTGAGTTCCTTGTTGATATCTCTCTTTTTTCTGTTCTTGTCTACGCCATACATTCCCTGTGTGCCGCCTTGTTATAAGACCCACCCCATTACCCATCTTGAATTTTTGTAGGGCTCCCACCACTGGCGCTTCTTTCTCTTGATTTAACTCCTTTCCTTGTCCCTTTGTAGGAGGAACATTAGCCTCGAGAGGCTTCTGTGGTTTGTTCCCACTGTTATCCTTCATCGAGGTAGCAGCAGGCTGCTCCATCTCCCTTTCATTCCTCTCTCCTCCCATAGCTTCCTCCTTACTGGTTCTTGCAACCTCCTCTCTTGCTAGAGGGGTTCCATTCTCAAAATTAGAACCAGTGCATTCCATCTCAAACTTCTTCTTCAGGATAGCCCAAATTTCAGCATCCTCCTTCTTAGCTGTATGAGACAGCCAATTCCTTGGTCCTGGCGCCCTTTTTCGCATCTCTAAACCAAATGGATCCACCTGGAGATTAGACGGTCGTGGGCATCTGAGTTTGGGATGGCCAATTCTGCCACAAGAATGGTAAAATAATGGCAGCTTCTCATATTTAACCATATATTCCACCAGTTCCCCACCAATGTTGAGTTTCAGTTTCTTTTTGAGAGGGTTGTTGATGGAAAGGTTGACTCTTATCCACATATAATCATCCCACGTTGTACCTGTACTATCATCAAACCAAACAAGATTTCCAAACCGTGTTGCAAGCTTTTCTGCCATTTTTTGAGTTCGCAACTCTGCAGGAAAGCCTCTAATATGTATCCATAAATCTATCATATGCAGATCCTCCGACGCTGGCTTCTTAATCAGATAACTTGATGCAAGAACGAGAATATTGTTCTCATAATGCCACGGTCCTCCATAGCCGGCTTTATTTCTCATACTTGGCAGGATGCACATACACTTTTGTACCTTGGTAGTTCTCTACGGACGACTCAATATAATAGGCAAAGTCTACATTAGTAATTCCGAATAAATGGACAGAAGAAAGTAATGGTTGGATGGTTGGAGAACATTTAACGACAACTGGTTAGTTTACAACAGAAAATGTACATATTTTAACGGCCACATTAATTTTGCTAGCTTCAGTCCCAACTTGTTCTTTGGTTAAATCGAAGATTTTACAAGTTTGCTTAGTAAAACATAGGCAGCGCACCTAACTGGCAATTCCACATACCAAGCGCAGCCCTAAATATTCTTGTCAAGCATCGCATATCCAGGATCCTGCAAAGTGTTTCCAGCATCGCAAGATCAGCAGCAAAGATAAGTATAATGTATGCAGTTATCAAGAACTAAACAATACAGCTGAATCTTCGGAAGTGACAGAAGCTGAAAGCTTACCGTTATAAAAGACTGGCCACCAAAAAAGTAAGGTAACCAATCTAATTATGTGTGCAGGTAATTAGCAGCCATCATAAGCTCCAGAGTCAGTTCAGGTTCAATTGGGAACTCGGTTTCCTTGCCACTGGTACAATACAACAAAAGAAAGTCAGCATATTCTAAAACAGGACAAACTGGGTGAAGAGACTTGAATATCGGGATGGAATCTGTAGGTCCTTGTTGATGACATTTTTAGTACAGTCCTCATTTAGCGAATTTTAGAACTTCACATTGCGTACCCAGCATCAACTAATGACCACACCATGTCCACTTCAAATAATAACAGTATATAAACACAATCAGATTGTGTAAGTGATAAGCTAAAGAAAAAGAAAACTGCTCGAAAAGTTAGTAAAAAAGATATCAGAATAGGAAGCAGAACTACAATCTACATTGGTGCCTGCCATCTTAGAACTTCACATCGCCGTCAATGACCAACTGAAGTAGGGTGAAAGCACAGGGAAACTAGAGAAACATGCAAAATCAGCAAATCAGTTAACATCTTATTATACATCCCTGAAACCACATGCACACAAATTAACATCAAACTGATTGAAAGCTCATGAAATGAAGAGAATAGGCTTATTGAGTCTAGACAAGTAAGCAGCACTAGTAACTGATAAGAGTAATGATCCTGTTAATTACTGACTTACGACCCTAGAGCCATGCTGTTCTTAATCAAAGAAAAAAAAACACCCAGAAGACGAAACCACTGCTGACGGTATTTTAATAACGAGTATGCAGTACCCCATCATCAAGTAAGCAGAAGTAAGTAAAAACCAGTTCTGAAGTAAGCCATTGGCTTCAGAAAAACAAGAACATGCTTAGTCAGCCAGATGGTTTGCTGAATGATTGTAAACTCTAATATGGACGACTTAAACGCTGGCAAACCAAACTAAATGTTCATGTTGGAACGAACTTGAGAGAAGAAAGGGACGATTTTGAAAGAAACAACAAAATGCAAGATGGGGTTATAAAAAGGGGAGAAGTAAGCCGCACCTAGCATACTGAAGAGACCAGTGGAAATACTGGCAGATTTTCTCCAGAATCGTGGTGCTTATCTCGGGAAAAGTCACCTCCCCATGTTGCGCCTCAGCAAAACTCCCTACAAATTGAAATGAAAAGAGATCAACTTCACCACAGAACAGACGCAGGCTATCAAAGAATTTAACCAACCCACCATCCTCCATCTGTAACGCACTAGATCGTTACCACCGATCAACTCAATTGAATACAAGCCGCCAACTTCTGTTTCGAAATCGACGAGCCCAGATCAACAAATCCCACATTGGAATTCTCACGAATCCATTCCACTTTGGAAACCCTCGAGAGCTAAGAGAACGGGGGCAGACATAGAGAGAGAGACAGACCTGGAGAGGTGAGCATGTTGCGAATTGTCTGCGAAACCATGGCGGCTTCCTTGTTGATCACGAACTCGAACCCCTCGGCGCTGATAAGCTTGACCGTGTCTTCTTTCCTCATCTCTGTCATCCGTTTTTCTTTTCCTCTTCTCTCTCTTTCTCTGCTGGTCTTCCTCCCTTTTCCTTCTTCCGGGAACAGACAATAAAACTTATTCCACGAGTGCGATCAGAGACGATTAAACCGCCGAGAGAAGAGCTTGTCGTTCCCAATACAGGGCTAAGTTAATTACATTTGGTTTATATTTGGGCCTGGGCCTGGGCCTAATGGTTCTTGCTTCTGACTCAGGAGTCCAGCTATATCTGGGAAATGTATGGATCACCAACCAAACCTTAATGAGCTGGGATTGGGCTCCAAACCCGCCCAACCTAGCTATTGCCATGCCAGCCCCTACCTTTCAAGTAAGAAAAATCATCACTGGTCGAAGAGGTTGCCGGTCAATAGTGCACAACGTTCTAAATTAATGTCCAGACCTAATGTTGATAGAAAGCATCAATGCTTATAAACATGTTAGTTCAACTCTTTGATGGTTTCCCGCTTCAGTTGATGTGATCATTAATTAAAATTGATTCGTGGTTGCTTGTGTATTTGATTTTTTCGTTAACCTTGATTCTGAGCCAGTGAGAAAAACGTGCCACACACCTTCGGGTCTACCTCTTGCAAGATTATCAGGTTGGAGGTCCATTTGCATCGTTTTTCTCTTTGATTTGCAAATCTTCGCCTGATCCTACCTTTTAAATTATAAGTTGAACATTTGAATATTGATGTTATGTAAGTATGTGTGAATTTTCACTATATGTTGAATCCAAGTACGCCCTGTTATTTTGGTGTAATGTTATTACTCATATGTTAAATGAGATTTTATATAAGGCAAAATTCATTTGTATAACCAAAACTTTGACGTTTGTGACAATAATAGCCACTTTTAGGAAAATACCAACAATAGCCAAAATTTTGAAAGTTCGATGACAAATATAGTCATTTCCGTTACATAATTTAACGCCGTGAGTGACACCATTCGTTATATTAACGGAAAGTTTACATGGCTGCCAACACACCCTCTCTTTCTTTTACATCTCAGCATTTAGTTACAGGTGGATGACACGTCATTAAAAAAAAACTCATTTCCTCGTCTTCCCAATTTTCTTTCTCCTTATTTTTCAGAAAAGTCTCTTCCTCCTACCTGGTTCGTCTCCCAAATCCCAAAAAAAAAACCTCACGACCTTCTTCGTCTCTCTCTCAGATCGCTCTTTCCCTTCTGCCGATCCAAATCTCGATTCTAGATTCACTCAACCTTAGCAATTGCTCGCTTGTCGGGAAACCCTCGCTCACTTTGCTTCAAAGGCTTCCGCACCTGTTGCAAATCCGAATCAACCCGGCTCCTGCGGAGTAGGTGGCGGAGGCAGTGGTGGGTTTAATATCATAGCCCCACCGCCACCGCCTCGGCTGTTACAGAGTGGACTAAGCAGCGAGCTGGGGCAGCTGTTTCTATTGCCGCCGGAGGAGCCCTTAGCCAAATCTCTAGTCGCAGAACCGAATCGCATAGTCCACTTCTCCTCGACGACGATTGGTGCTGTGAGGTTCCCATTTTAAATTATTCTGGGTTGTTCCAGAGTGTGGCTTCCCTTCTCCACGGAGGGAAGTGCATCCCTTTCTATCTGGCCCAGTCGGTCCGCTTTCCCCACGAAAATGTGCAACAATGATTGGAGGACAGATTTGTAAGCACTGGTCGATCTTTCTCAAATTGCCCTGACGCCCAGCTTCAGGCCCCACAAATCCACTTCAACCCGATGCCCAGCTTCCTCCCTCTCCGACTTTCACCATTTCTCCCCTTATCATAACCATAGCTCCATCCCTTCGATGGCGGTTCCCCAACACTAGCCTCTGTGAATCTTCTACAATAGACAGATCAGGAAGACACCCAAACCCACAAAAAGAAATTTCCCAGAACCCTTCTTTTCTATTCCAGTCGACCAAGAAGACCCCCAAACCCAAATCTCAGTGGAGATTGCACAAAGAGAAACCCCATATTCGTCAGTGAGGGGGAGAGAAGAAGAAGACGAGTAATCGGGGGCAAATATAAGCGATTTTTTCCAGCAATGACTTCTTCCCAACTCGTCTGCGACTGCTCCATCTTCTGATGCTTTTGGATCCATCTTTCTTGTTCGTCTGAAACTGGTCCCCTCATCTGCGGTGAACCTCAAAATTGGGGATTAGAGAGAAGTGGGTGGGATGGCTGAAGATAGTGTGGCAGACTGGCAGTGAAGTCAGAGTTGGTGTTGGTGGAGGCAGAGATGATTGATGGTGGCTAGGGGTGTAAGCTTGACCCTAAAAACCACTGATCCGTCCCGACCCGTACGGTCCCTAAGGGTCGGGACAGGTCAGTTTGTCTATAGGGTCAGTTTAGGGATGGGTCAGCTTTTGACCCTATAAGGGTCGGGACTGGTCGGGACAACTTAGGGAGGAGTAACTTTTTGACCCTGTGACCCTTAGCAACAACAAATATCCCATACCACATTGGACCTCTTTGTAAAAGTTTTCAAAGTTTAGGTGATAAATTGCAAAAATAAAAATTTTTGGGTACCAACATGTAATTTTACCTCCAAAATTTAAGGACGTATTTGTAAAAAAAATTTAGGTACTAAATTGTTAGAAAAAATAATTTTGGGTACCAAAACGTAATTTGTAAAAATAGTAGTGTGCAAATTAGGGTCGACCCACTAACTGACCTGTCCCGACCCGTCCTATCCCTTGGGGGTCAGACAGGGTCAAGAAGGGACAGGGACGGGACAGTTATACATAGACCCTTCAGGGACGGGTAAGACAGGGTCAGGGACGGGTCAGGGAAATTTTCAGCCCTAAATTGGTGGCGGAGGCAGAGATGATTTTGGACTGAAGGCGATGATGTTTGTGGTATTGGTGGTGGGAGGATTTGTCGGCGGAGAAGAGCTCTTCGCCTCCTCTTAAAACTCATTGATTTTGTTTGTTTTTTTAAATCCACGTGGCTAATACGCACGTGACGAAAATTGCCAGATCAGACAATCCGTTAGTACAGTTAGCACGTTAACTCACACAATCAAAGATTTGGACGAAAGTGGGTATTTTTATATTTCACCAAAAGTGGCTATATTTGACCAAACCGTCAAAGTTTTGGCTATATAGGTGTATTTTGCCTTGATATATAATGAATAAATATATGAACATTATAATAACTTTTTTTTCATGTATCCAAACTAAAATGATTGAACCATTAACTCTCAAACCACTTTCTCGATCGAACCAACGAGCTAAACTGGTTCGACAATCTTATTCACGACAAACACAACCAAATATTGAGTATTGGTTAATGAGGAGCCGAATCCCAAACCAAAGAACTTCATAAGTTTGGTTGGCTGCATGGTTGTCAAACCGGTTTCATGCCGACCGATTTAACTGGGTTCAACCGGTACCGGCCAGCAAACCGGCGGGGAAAGGGGCCGGTATTTAACTGTCGTCAAATAAGGTCAATACCGGTCAAATCCGAAAATTCCGACAGGTTAGACCAGAAATCGGAATTTAATGTTACACACATTATATCCAAAAATAATCATCCTCCATAGGATTTGAACCAAGTACCCCATGTTCATTTTAATTTAACTTATACACCAGTAGACTATAAGCAATATTATTGTCTATATTAACCTTATATGTTATATACCTAAAACTAAATTTTACACAAATCATTATAAATATTAATAAAATTCATTTAATAAAATTTTACTTTTAAGCATCTAATTGTTTAGTATTAGTTACAAATTCTTAGCTATAAATTATTTTGTGTGAAATAATTCTTCTAATTGCTTTTTGATGACTAATTTATTTGGAATTGAAGATTTTCATTTTCCTCATGTATTTTATTAAAACCGGCACAACCGACATGAATACTGGTTGTACCACGGTCAAACATTCCACTTACAAAACCGGCACATCGGCATAAACCGGTTTGACAACCTTGGTTGGCTGGTTTTTTGATTTGGTCTCATTTGGTCCTGGTTAACGAACCAAACCCCAATCCGAATGTGCAACTCCAGTTCCGCGTTAGGAGAAAAGATAGACGAGAGTCGTGTGAAGTGCGTGGAAAACCGCAATTCTGACCTCCACAGCCAAACCAACATCCAACCGGCCACTGGCAGTGCCAGGCTGCCACCACCGTCGGTTTGCCATCTCATCGTCTGCTGTCGTTTTCAGCCTTTTCTTGTCGTCCTCCTCTGACCAACCTATCCCACCCACCACCACGACGTCGTCTTCTTCATATCCCTCCCTCCCCAACCACGCGCAGAAGAAGAAGGCAGAATCTCCCCCTCTACCCAACTCCCCGTATTTATTGGCCGTTTCAAAATCATTTCCCACACCCTTCTTTCCGTTTTCTACTTTTCTCCTCCGCTCGACTCCACTCCACAGAAAGGAAAGGAAAGGAAAAAGGGGAAGAAATCGGAGAAAGCGAATATTGAACAGAGCAGCGAGTCCACCGAGATTTCGATTCGCGCTCGCCGGAGAATTCCATTTTCCCCGTCTTCCAATCCGAAGTAGACAAGTCCATTCTCTTCTCGATCTGTTCGCCCCTCGGGTAAGTCGTTGTCATCTTCCCCTTTCTATCTCGGGAACTTTCTTTTTCAGATCTGTATGCTTAGCGAGCTTGTTGGAACTCGCGATTAATCTGTTGATGGATCTCGCAGGTTCGAGAGATCTGAGAAGAGGGAATTGGAGATACACAGAGTAAGAGTAGCAGTAGTATTATTTGTTGACGGAAAAGGAAACTATGGCGCATAAGGTAGATCACGAGTACGATTATCTCTTCAAGATTGTGCTGATCGGAGACTCCGGCGTCGGTAAATCCAACATTCTTTCCCGCTTCACCAGAAACGAATTCTGCTTGGAGTCCAAATCCACTATCGGCGTCGAGTTCGCCACCAGAACTTTGCAGGTCAGAAATCTTCTTTTTCTCTCTCACACAGTCACTCTCCCGCTCTCCCTGTTTTGTTGTCTCGATCGATCTAGTTGGGTTGGTTTTCGCTTGAAATTGTGTGGGATCTTCAACTCTTGTGTTCTTACTCCTTGTACTGAATGCGCGCAAGTGTTAAACTGTTTTACTTCTTACTTATGGCTCTGCGCCTTGCCGTGATGGTGAAATGTTGATTGCTAAGTATGATATCCTCTTGTCTGCTGTATTATCCTGGGAAATCCTACTGCTGCATCCCTACTTGGCAGTTCATCATCGGTTTTGTCAAGTTAATTGATGCACGAAGTAAGCTTCGTTTACCGAGTTTGTGTCGACTTCTTTGTGCTTACTTGATAATCTCTTTCGTGAATGCAATATGCTGATGCCCATAAAAAGAGTATGTAGTTGTGCTGATCAGACCGTGCGTGCTAATTAAGCATAAGGGTTACCAGTGATGCTTCGGAGAAAAGGAGTGTAATGCTTGAACTGGCTTCTGTAGATGGCTTAATCAGTGCAAGTATCAATGTACACCAGCAGTTTAGTTTCTGGTTGAAGAGCTAGCCTGCTGAACTGGGTGGGATGCAATGTGATATAAGTTTAAGCATAAGCACCATCAGTCCTAAATGCTATCTGCTGTGTTGGTGTAGGTGGAAGGAAAGACTGTAAAGGCTCAGATTTGGGATACAGCAGGCCAGGAGAGGTACCGAGCGATCACAAGTGCTTACTACAGAGGGGCAGTTGGTGCACTCCTTGTCTATGACATTACCAAGAGGCAAACATTTGACAATGTCCAACGGTGGCTACGCGAGTTGAGAGACCATGCAGATTCCAACATTGTCATAATGATGGCTGGAAACAAGTCCGACTTGAATCACCTGAGGGCTGTTTCAGATGGAGACGGACATACCTTGGCCGAGAGAGAAGGTCTCTCATTCCTCGAGACGTCAGCACTTGAAGCAACGAATATCGAGAAGGCATTTCAGACGATACTGACAGAGATATACCATATCATAAGCAAAAAGGCGTTGGCTGCCCAGGAAGCTGCTGCTAATTCTTCCATTCCTGGCCAAGGAACCACCATCAATGTTGCAGATGGCTCAGGCAATGTCAAGAAAGGAGGTTGCTGCTCTGCCTAAGGAGCCCGTGTCATGTACTGACTGACCAATGGGTGGAAAGCACAATCGGCAAGCAACCATTCTTCCTTCCTTTGTTTTTCATTTCTTTTGGGTTTTCATTTAGCAATTTTTGGCCAAGAGGAGACCTGTAGATTACTCTCTGTTCCCCGTAAATTGAGAATGTGAAATTTGCAAAGATGCTATGGTTAGATTTCAGGGTGGCCTTTTCCTTTTTCTGCTTATTTCTTTGTTATTTACACTTTCAAACAAAGCTTGGATATGATGATAGCACGGATGTAGAGTGACCACATATTACCTCAGTTGAGACTTTTGTGAGACACAGTGCCTAAAAGCAGAGAAATTCGTTTTCCTTTCGCTGATCTTGTAAACCAGTCATTTTACAGTGCAAGCTTAGGCCACTAACTACCACAATGAGTTACAGTGTTGTCCATTATCGTTTTTCATTCCACAATTGGTTATTTGGTGCATCTGATCGGCTGCCATCAAAGGTGGAAGTCCACTAGCCAAAAGGCATGCGAGCCATTACAGTACACCCTGGGCCCCTGGCAGTGACAAATGAAACAGGCAGTTGAAGTCTGGTGAGAATCGAATAAGCAGAGCACCAACCACACAATTTGCTGTTGTGCTCACTAGAGGTGTACATAGGTCAGGTGTTCGGATTTAGTCGTTTTAATCTGTTCATTCATACACCTCAGTTTTAAAAATATTAAATCTAAACTCATCCAATAAAAATTTAACAAGAGCCAAGAGGTGTAATACAAGTTGGTTCGGGTATCTACAAGTTGAATCACCCAAAATTCGACTAAGTTTTACAAAAGTAAACTCCCACCCAATTTTAAAATTTAATTTTAGCGGTAAATTTGACTAGATTGGATTGGACGGGTGAATCTAGTAACGGTTCATTTTGGTCACCCCTAGTGCTCACAGGTGCTCATAGCGCTCTCCCCAATCTGACGGACCCAAGGTGTTATGAACACATTCTCACAGACTCTATGAACAACATATCCGGGTTGTCAAACCACATCTGCAGCTATATACATACACTGATCCAAATTCAAATGATTGAGGAAATCAAACAGCTCCTTCCCTTGGCCGCAATAACAAAACTTGTGTCAATGGGCTATGTAAAGCCAAACGATAAAAAAATGTTTTACAGGTTGTTTCCTTAGACCTCAATTTGGAATGTACAATGACAAATGCCATACATTTTCTCACAGTGATCCTTAATCCTATTGACCATCTCCCTGGCGCTAGCTTCTGGCTCGGCTATCACATGGCAAGTCAGGACCCGCTTACCGACTGTCATAGACCAGACGTGGATGTCGTGGATTTCTCGAACCCCTCTGATGCACTTCAGATCATTCTCCAGTCTGACTAGGTTTATGTCGCGTGGGGTCCTCTCCATAAGTATGTTGAAGATATCCATGAGCATAGGCAATGTTGTGAACAGTACAAACGTGGAGAACACCAGGGTGCAGATAAGATCAACAATCAACCACTCTGGCTTCGCCCATATGACTGCTCCGGCGATCATTACTCCAACAGACTGGATTAGATCAGCCATTACATGAAGATAAGCACCCTGGATGTTGATGTTCAGCAACTTGGCCTTTTTTGGAGACCCTAACACCAGGTCCAACTCTGACTCTTCTACCTGGTCTTCTTTTCTAGCAGGCAAATGGTTCATGTTATGATCATGATCATGAATGTGATGGTGATGATTATGATCATGACTATGACCATGATCGTGGGCGTGACCGTGATGATCATGACCAAGCCATATGACCATGATCAAGTTGATTATGAACCCAAATGCAGCAATCCCAAACATGAGTCCACCCTTGACTTCTGCTTGCTTGTGAAGGATTCTGTTCACTGCCTCGTAGATTAGGACTCCAGAGATGAGCCAGATGAGTTGTACGGAGAGCAGGGCCCCAAGGACCTCAAGGCGACTGAACCCGAAAGACTGGTCTGAAGTGGTTTTCCAACCCGAAGCCCACACTGTGAAGAGCGATACAGCAAAGCCAGCTACGTCGGTGAGCAAATGTGCTGCATCTGTGATAACTCCAAGGCTGTTGGCCCTTACACCACCTATAATCTCAACTGTCATAACCATCAAATAGAAAATCATCAGCCCAGATAGTTTTACAGCTGCCTTGGATCTATCCTCTAATTCATGAACATCATCTACATGTTTGGAGAAGGCACAAACGCATCCGCTGGATGGTCGGGAATCCACATCAGAGATGGTCTTTTCGTTGGGAGGGATGACCATCTCTATATCCTTCTGGCCGTCCGAACTCAAGATGGGGATTTCATCATATCCCTCCATCACCCTGGGATGATCGACCGATTGCCAGCAAAAAGGATCAGAGATAACGCAAGATAACAAATCCAGAGAAACAAAACAACTAAAGTATATAGTTATCCTTCTGAAGAACCCTGCAAAATCTGTCAGGAGGCAAAAATCTGGAGGAATGGCTTTTCTAACTCAATAACTAAACAGAACGAATACTCTAAAGAAACTAAAACGTTGCATGATAATAGAGTACATTAACAAGCTATTTGCGTTCCAATCGTCTCATAATATTAAACGAACGAGAATATTCAAATTTATAGGCCTGAAATCCTTCTCTTTTCATCCTTGGTTCAGCCCTCTCTGTCCTTTTTCCTACCCAAAATATAAATACTTCTCCTGGAAACTATAATCTAATACCTCTCTCTCCTAAGTAACTCGGTTCTACAAATCCCCATTCTGGGTCTCATTCATCTAAACGACCCACATAATCAAAATTGCCTCAAAATTGCCTAAACCTCTTTCAAGTTAATGCATATTATATAGAAACTGAAGGATCATGAGTAAATCACGACCCAGAACAACCTTTCCTTATGATTGACAATCGTCTACTATTCACACAAGTTGTGGCACAGGGAATCAATGAAGCAGGTCGCTGGGACGTGCAAGAACAAGTAGAAATGCGAAAGGGAAAAAACAGCATACGAAACTAAACGGTACCGAGCTGTTAATCGAGTGGAGCGGAAGGAATTGAAGGGTTGACCTCGAATTGACCGGCGGAAGAATGAAACGTGGTTCTTCACTCAGCTGGAGAAAGGGGTGTGGATTGTAAAGACGGGAAAGGATTCACACAAAGGACCGAGACACCCGAGCTTCATAAATCGGAGGATGGTATGGACTATGGAGTAGTGCAGGATGAAACGGCCGGGCCGGCAATCCGTGGAGGCGGAGGAATTGCCGAATTGAAGGGGGACGAGTTTGTGTGGCCGTTTAACTTTGCCAGTCCGCCTACTACTACCAGCGACTTCATTCGTACTTTGATTCTTTCTAAGTTGACGGCCAAGTTTGGCTTGGCATTTGGCAACGCTACATCACGAAAGCCAACTATGAACTAACGGTGTTTTATCATGAAAAAATCCCAAATACACTAGTTCTTAAAAAAAATTCTCAAAATACACAAGTTATAATTTTTTTCTCCAAAAGTACACATGTTTCACATTCACCGTTTTTTACAAACGCAGTGAATATAATCACCGCGTTGGACAAAGATGGTGAACATTTCACCGTTTTAATAAAAACGATGACGTGTTCACCGTTTTTGTTAAACGCGGTGAACACTTCACCGCGTTTAACAAAACCGGTGAAGAAATCACCGTTTAAAATAAAAGCGGTGAAAACGCCACCATTTTAGGGCAAAGCGAGGAACATCTTCACCGCCCTAGGCTAAGGCGGTGATTGTTTCCCACGTTTCCCACGCTAAGGCGGTGAACACTTCACCGCGTTTAACAAAACCGGTGAAGACATCACCGTTTAAAATAAAAGCGGTGAAAACGCCACCATTTTAGGGCAAAGCGAGGAACATCTTCACCGCCCTAGGCTAAGGCGGTGATTGTTTCCCACGTTTCCCACCCCTGGTAGGTGAAAATTAGGTCACAACCACCTAATCTTGACCGTTTGAGACAGACGCGGTGATGTTGTTCATCGTTTGTGACAAAAAACGGTGAAGTCTGGCCGATTTCCCTTTATATACCACTCTCACCAGTAGTTGTAAAAATGTAATCCCTCCCCCTCTTCAAATTTCAGCAACCAAAACCGAGCAACATACACAGAACAAGAATTTTCGGTATGATTTAATTTTCGTATTGTAGCCTAATGGTTGTTTTTAGTAGTTATATTGTTATGTTATGAATTACTTATCGTAGCAAATATGGCCGATGTTATGAATTACTGGAATTAAGCTAATAGTTACTTATTGTAAATTGTAGATATGGGTAAATTCAAGAAGTTTCAGCGTATTATTCGATGGAATGGAAGGGTTACAAACTATGACATAAGGATTGATTATGAGGACGATGTATCCACTATGCTGAAAATTGAGTCGCGATTCAATTTTCAAGAACTTTGTGATATTTGTGCAGACAGGGTTTGTACGAGCGGACAAACGAGACTTGGTAAAATTAGTTCCCGGTATCCATGTATGAGTACTGGCGGGCTTGTGTACCAAGAAGTTGTCATAAACGATGATGACGCGGTTACGATGATGTTACAATTCCTAAGCGATAACGGGATGCGGCAAGCAGAAGTGTATGTTGAGACCGAGGCGGTCGGTGAAACTCATTCTCACCAGTATTCTTATGATGATGGTTTTGCAGGAGGGTACAGATGGGGTGGTAGTTTGAGCAACTAAGAAGGAGGTGGTTATACAAGAGGTTACGGAGAGGGTGGTAGTTCAATCAACTACGGTGGAGGTAGTAGTGCATGATGGGTGCCATCGGAAGAATACTCGCAACAGGATCAACCTGCCGATGGCATTCAATGGCCTGCTTGGGGGCCTGAGTGGGCTGAAATAGAGAATACCATTCGAGCAGGGCGTACTTTACATGAGCGAGAAGACGATGTTGGTGATGGTGGTCATGTTGATCCTTCTTGGCCGAGCTATCCATTCGACTCGAGCGACGATGATACTAAGGAAGATTTGAGATCAGTGAGCGAAGAGGAAGATACTGATGATAACGATGACGAGGCGGTATTTCGTGAGGCACCGACACCATACTACACACAGGTTCCAACTCAATTTTTACATAGTCAGAATGATGCCCCCGACTTTGTCCCTATGCCAGTGTATAATCCGACGACCAATTTGGAGGTGGGTATGGCGTTCTCATCGAAGGACGCTGTGCAGGATGCCTTACCAAAGAGGCCTTGAGGTGAAATTTCGAGTGGAAGGTAAAATATTCTGACAGTAAACAATTACATGTCATATGCAAGAATGATGCAGAGGGCTGTACGTGGCAACTGCGGGCTGCAAATATGAAGAGAAAGGGTGCATGGGTGATTCGAAAAGCTGAGGCCAACCACACTTGCTCCTCGTCCATACGTTCCCAGGATCACAGGCAACTTAAATCAAAGAAAGTTGGGAGACCTATTAAGCACCTTATCGAAGCACAACCAGATATCAAGGTCCTCTCTATATAGGGCGCCAACCGATCATGCCAAGCGGGCAAGTTTGTGGTCCCTTTATGAACGACATGAATAAGTGATTCCTACAAAAAAAAAGGAAAAACATCAATTTGTTAGTTCAAAGAAAGCAAATAATACCTTAGAAAAAAATAAAATAAAACAAGATAAATCATCAATTTACCGGATTGTTATCCCAAATAGCACGGGAGCGATGTGCTTGTTGATCGGTTAAATACCTCGTATCTCTTGGGCCATAATGGATATACAATCGAGGATCGTATATCTCGGCACCCATCTATTAAAAAAAAGTAATCATCTCAGATTGTTTTGATTAAAAAAAAATCACAAAATCAAATTATTTCGATAAAAGAAAATCACAAAATAAAAACAAAAAACCTACCCGAAGAGCTTCTTCGTCCATTTTTTGGCGGAAGCCGGACAGTGGTTTGACGGGTTTATAAGGGACGGGGGCTTTAGGGTATAACTCTAGTAATTCTTTCTGATGTGGAAGATCAGACTTAGCCGCAAACACAGAGCATACTTAGAACGAGACTAGAGTGGATAGATTGAGGGAGAAAGAAGTGTAAATGTGGTGGTGTGATTTGGAGGGGGGGGGGGGGGGGGGGGGGGGGGGCAGGGTTCTATTTATAGGGAGGGATCTGCGAAAATAAATGGTGAGCAATCACCGTCTTTGACAGCGACGGTGAATGCATCGCTTTCATTGAAAACGATGTGTAATTTTGGAATTTTTTTTATAACTTGGGAATTTTTTTAAGAACTTATGTACTTTGGATTTTTTCCCATTTTATCATCATCATTATTATTATTATTATTATTTATTTATTTTATACTGTGAAGAAGGTGAACAAATGCAACATATACTTCTGAAAAAAATGCAACATATGCTTAAAATAAAATAATAAATAATATGCAACAGTTGATAACTAAACGATACATCGATGCAAGACCAAAATAGTTTTTTTACACTAAATAGACAACTTTATCTTTGTCCTAAGATACAGTGGTAAAAAATAATACAAAAGTCATCAACGAATACAAACGTCTGCAACACGCACTTCAAAAGTCACGAAATCCATTGTTGAAGTTTTGGATGCCTAAACACAACAAAAGAGTTGAAGTAGGGGTGGGCATTAGGTTTGGTTTTACCAAACCAGGAGACAACCCGTCTGAATCATATTACATACACATGCAAGTTGGAATTCTGGAGGGCAGATATTGGTGGTCAGAGTTCAGTTCGGAATGAACAGAATTGAAGGTCTTAATTTCGAACTGCTTCCAACCCAGTAAAAAAACATGACTCTCATCCCAACAATCCATCCTAGCCCACCCCTTAATTCCACAATCCTCGCGGCTCATCTAATTCTAATCTAACCTAAGCTCAAGACCACTCAGAAATCTCTAACCCTAAGGCCTAAGTAAGCAACATATGAGTGAAGAGAGCGCCAGCCAAGGGAGAGCGAGAGCCAGAGACGGTCGACTTTTCCCCTTCGTATGCAATATGATCCAACCATCCTCCCTTCATCATCCTCTTCCTCCTCCATCGTCATCGCTGCCATCCGCTCCAAGCCTCCACTCACCAGCCGACAACCAACTCTTCATCCCTCTCTTCTTGGCGGCAATACTCAAAACCTGAGTTGCTCGGTGAATTCTCTCCTCTCCATCACCATTCCCTTTCGATGTGTCCTCTATTTTTCGCTCCTTCTCGGAGGTTGTTTGACAAGCCCTCTACCAATCACAGCCGCACATTCAACCCCATTTATGTATCTCCATTCCTCTATTTGTTGACACCAGTAATGACTAATGACGGTCAGTTTACAAGCCAAAAAAGAAAGCAAACAACAAAAAAAAAGGGTCAAAACTCCAATACAAGCAGCTGGAAAATGTTTGTGAATGTTGCTATCTGTCGAGTGCCACTTGGTTTAGGGCTGGCGAGTGCTATTTTATGATTATGTAAATTAAGTATTTTCTGCTATTAGATGAACTTGTAATTTAGTGTAGGTAGGATGCCAATGTCTTGTGATTCTGTTAAATGGAAAATTCGGTAAATTATGGCTACCATGTTTTTGTGATTGGTGTAATTAGTGTAGGATGCCAAATTATTGTTTTAAATAATACTGATGTACTTGTGGCTTGTAGGATGTTGATTCATAAGAGGAAAAGAGTTCGCCCATGTAAGACACAAACTCTAGATTCAGAGTCGCATGAGCTCACTAGGGAAGTCAAAAGAACCAAAGTGCGAGCAATAATAGCTTCACAGACAAGAGACGAGGGTTGTTCCTAATGCAATGCTAGCTTATTTATCACCACATATTGCAAATGTTCTCATTGACACCGGGGCAAGACTTAATCTTATGGTGTACCCCTTATACGGAAGACTACGAGTTTACTTTGAAGAAGGGGGAAAATTCAGTGTCTAACTGGTCGAACTGGGGTAGTGAAAAATATGTCTCTCCAAGTGGGACCCGTTGAGTTCCTAACTGACTTCCTTGTTATGGATCGAGGAAACAATTGGTAATATCCCCTTATCTTAGATAGGGATTTCTTAGCTGGTGCTAGAGCAATTGTAGACATATCCAAGAAGCGATTGGTGTGCAGAGTTGGACAATACGGACATACGATTCATCTCACACCCCCTGGGAAAATTCATCTACACCCATAAATAAGAAATCACCTCGCATTGATTTAGAACAAAAATCCCCTGATAACATGAGCTACAACCCTATGCATGCTCAAGCTTCTCACAATGATAAGAAAGAATGGGATCCGAGGACGTTTGCTCCCCACCTTCACAATGTCTTCTCCACTAGGCCTCACAAACACCATTCCACCAGAGATGATGGGAGTGGTAATGGCTGGATTTTCGGACGAC